TCCTATCCACTAGACTATGCCACCTATATTTCCTCAATAACTCTCCAAGGCCTTGTATACACTAGCATTTTTCTCAGTTTCCCACCATAGCTACTGTCTGCGGCACACAATCGTGGGAATCTTAAAGGCTTCATACACAAGTTAAACAGGAGGGGTGAAAGAATGGAGCCCTATGGAAAACTGCATAAGTGTGCCTGGGGCAGAAAAGCAACTGCCCAATACTCTGGGATCTCTCGGAGGAAAGGAGTAAGACTCTCAAGAAAAAATTCGATTTACCTGTTTTACACCTCATGGTCAAGAGCAGATGGCTGATCTGAAAGAATCAGCAATGAGACCTAGGGCCTGATTGTCTATCATGGCCAAGGTGTACTCAGTGAGTGCAGGAGCAGGGGAGTGTCAGGGAGGAGGAGAGGAAAGGAAAGTGGTTTGGCCCCTGGATAAGTTAGAATAGCCTAAGGACTGCTCTAACTTACACTGGAACCACCTGTGCTCCCTAGAGGCTGTGGGCTGATCACAACTAGAATGTAGCAGTGTTCCAACCCAAGCCCTGCCCACAGAACACCCCAAAACGCCTTCTACCTTGGGTTTACAAGGGTGAGCCTACCAGGTCTATGCAAATCCTTTTAGTGACAGTATTCCCCAGGGTGCAGATCCACTGCCTTTAAAGTTATCTTACGCTGCCACAGCATTTTAGGAGGACCCTAGGGCAACAAAGAACTGGGCTCCTAGTCTTAGTCAACCGTCAGGAGTTCAGCAGCTAATGCATTATTCATACTATACCCAGGCCTAAAACCAAACTGACAGAAGTCAGACCATAGCATGTGTCATAAAACTACCATACAATATAATTAGCAGCATTTTTGCTCAGGAATAGGTAGGGTAGGGTGCTGCAGGTCAGTGCCATAGGGGCTGCTAGTGTGCAGTATACCGGTGTTATCTAGCCAGTTCTGTCAGTCACTCATTTTCACGAGCAATAAATATGTACTGGAGTCCCCCTCCCCCTGCCTTCCCCACTGCACAAGAGCTAAAAGAAAAATATTTTTTGAACCATTGTAACAAAGATCCAAAGGCTTTTTCTACGAGCTCTGACCTACTTCTTTCATTCTTACTGTGGGGAAGCAAACACTGAAAGGAGCATTGTCAAAACTGTTAGATCTAAAAATAGACCTACCTTGGCAGTGCTCCCATCTACATGGGCTCACTTTAAGGCCTGCAAATGGATTTTCCCCACCCCAAGCAATTCTCTGGTGAAGCAGGAAATACAGACACCATGCAACTCGCTAATCCAGCCATTCCACATATTACCTCTTGGGATAACTATACTGATCTAAAACTAAGCCCTATGTTGTGCCAGTTGTCTCCCTCCCCCTACCCATTCAGGTGTTTATTTTCTAACACAAAAAGGATATTGAGCTACACCAAATCTCACCTTTTGTGATTGCAATGCCACCCCCGCCCAACTACCCCAACACAGAGGAAAAAGTCCCAGGTTTTTTAATCCAGTGCTGGGTATTTGCTGTGCCAGCTAAATTCCTGGACACTTGACTGAGCAAGGCCCTGATCCTGCAAGGAGAGCTATGCAGGTGGACCTCTGGCCTTAAGGTATGAAAGAAAGAAGAATGGCTTCCCTCCAGTAGTGGATACTAGATAAACCAGGCAGGAGGTCTGCGGCTGACTAATTTCCTATTTCTTTCCGGGGTAGGGATGCACAGGCTAGGAGTGGAGCAGTGAGGGACGAGTATTCTCTTGCCTTCCTGCAGGAAGTAGGAATGACACATGGCTCCAAAACCTCCTTCCAGCTATAGAGCACCTGCCCTGTTGTTGCAAGGGACATTGCATATAGGGTATGTGTCATAGGCACCAAATAAGCAGGGACTAAAACATTTGATTAGACAATAAGTATGATTTCAAGCACTGATCACACAAAGAATCATATGCCTCGGTGTAACAGTATGATTTTATCCCATGAAGAAAACAGAAGCCTTGTCATCCGTTCATCATTCTCCCCCCCCCCCCCCGGTCCCCCTCGAGCAAGAGAGAGAGACAGACACACACACACACTTTGAAAAACAGGTAGCCATCCTACCTGGCTAGTATGTGGGAACAGCAATCCTTCCTCTCTCTCACACACACAGTCACAGAGAGAGAAAGGGAGAGTGTCTCACAGGAGAAGGGAACACAAACGGAGGGAAAGATAAAAAGAGGACACATACAGAAGAGCAGGGACGCAACTGGAGAGAGATACAGCAAGAAGGAAACAGGACAATTTCAGGAACTGGAGAAATCAACAGAGCCTACATGGGAGGAGAAAAACATAGGGATGCCCAATGGGAAAAGCTATTTGCTCCTGCCAGGGGGAAATAAAGAGGAGAGATGCCCCAGATCCCCTCAGGAACAAGAGAAACACTCTATGCCATTTCTCTCTCCCCTCCTAGGAAGAAAGAGAGAGGGACATGACCCCAGAAGATGCTGGAGGAAAGGAAACAGGATTATCATCCTCCCCTAAGAATAGGGGAGGGCTTCTGCATACTGATGGGGCTTCCGTCCACTCCACTCTCACCTCAGTTACCCTGCAAATGCAAATAGCTCTCAGTGAGATAGAACCCGTTGAGGAAGAGACGCTTGGTGGGTAAGATATCCAGGTTCAATTTCCACTTCTGTCACAGACTACCCATGTGACCGGAGGGAAGACCTCTTAACCTTTTTGCTTTAGTTTCCCCGTATATAAAATGAAGATAATATTCCCCTACCTCACAGGGGTTTAGCAACGCTTTAACTCATTAATATTTGTAAAGCTTTTTGAGCTCCTCAGATGGAAGGCACTGCAGAAATGACAAGAATTATTAAAGACATGAATGGATTTAGGAGACAGAATAAGAAGAGTCTAATCAAGTGAATAAAGAAGGTTTACAGAATGCCCATAATGGGGTTTCTGCTCGTGTGTGAACTGGCACACTCCCAAATAGCAGTCTGTTTCATCTATTTACCCACCAAGCACACACACCCAGTTTGCACTGCTAACCCTTTTTGCCACAGAAACAGCAGTAATTAAACCAAGACTCTTCATTTATCATGGTTTACAAATAAAAAAATAATGGAGTTGCATCTGCTTAGACAAGCAATTAATTTGGCCTATAACGAGTTTTAAGGACAAATTCTCAAAATGACTAATTTCGGGAGGCCAGCTTTAGATACGTATAACCATGTTTTCAGAAATAGCCACTAGCACTGGGTGCCTGCCTAGAGAAAACCAGGGCCTGATTTTCAGAGGTGCCGAGCCACCATAGCTTTAAGCAGCAGCTGAAAATTAGGACCTGGATCCACATTTTTCAAAGTTGATTTTGGGTGTCCAGTTTGAGACAGTTTGGGCTTGATTTTCAGTGATGTAGAGCACCAGCAGCTCCCTTTGACTGTCAATGGAGTGGCTGATACTTAGCACCTTTGGAGAAAAAAAAAAAAAATCAAGCTCAGCATTGTCTTGGGAACCCAATAAATGAGACATCCACAATTAAAGGATGCTTTTCAAAACATGGGGCTTCATGACTGACCCAAGGCCACAGAGAAAGGCAGTGGCCAGGATGAGATTAGACTTTAGGAATTCCCGATACCTAGACCCATACTTTGTCTACTAGAATATACTGTGTCTCAAACCAGCATGAATTTCTGAGAGGAACAGTGCAGAAAAAGAGAGTTTATTTTCCCTAGTGTACCTAACCACAAATTCTCTCTCACCTAAACCTCCTTGAAGTACTCAGTGGAAGTAAAACAAAAGTGCTGCCAAGTACACTTAGTCAGTCTTTCAGAGGAGTCTGGGTTCTATTTAACCACCTAAAGTGGCCAGATTTTCAGAAGTGCTCAAGTACGCAGTAGCTGCCACTTCATTTAGGTGTTTCTATGGGAGCTGGGCTTTTTTTTTTTTTTTTTTTGGTAAAAACCTGGCCTATGGTGTTTGAATTTTTTTCTTCTCCACTTGCCAGAGTGGAATACAACAGCATACTCTGGCACCCATATCTTAGAAACTCACGCTAATACAACCCAGATTTACATTCACTTTCTAAATTGTGATTGGAAAGCATAATACAGTGTCACCATATTACACTTCAGAAATTTAGAAGCTATTTAAGGTAACAGGAGATAACTACAGCATCTGCTTTTGCATTTAAAAAATATGGGCAGGCAAGATAGGAATGGTGATATGGAATACTCAATTCATGCTAAAATACAAACTCAGATATTTTGTGCGATATGAATGTGCTGCTCAACTGCCTTTCCTGTGTGTAACATCAGAACCTTGGGAACCAGTTCTGAAGTTGTTTAACTGAAAAAAATACCAGTTGCAATAGAGAGAGCCCAGGTAGCCTCAAGGAAGCCCAGGTAATAATGGCCAAAGAGGAATTAGGCAGCCCCCTACTAATCTGGGAACAAAACAAACCCACACACAATTCAGAGCCATTCTTTGTTCCCATGGCCACCTGATTATACACTCAAAGTCAGCCATAATGTAATTAAACACAAACAGCTACTTATGTCAGAAGTCAAAACACTGGCACTTCTTGGGGTGAACTTCAGGGGCTAGGATTCCCATCCCTGGCCTAGCCAAGCACTAATAGAAGAGGAGGGCATGAATCAGATATATAATCGACCAGCTCCTCTAGAATAAAGGGGGCGGGGGGTTGACAGCAAAGAGACGCGGTGGAGCTCTAGGGGAGGGACCCCCTCCAGCCCAGCCAGGATAAGGAGGGCAGGTTGAGCTGGCAGAGCTGGGTCGTGGGCTGTACGAGAGAGGCGAGTGGGCGCTTCTCAGGCACCTGGATCTGCTGCCCCCAGCGGGTGCACTCGCCAGCCCGAGGCATGTGGCCCAAGCCCCGCTTGCCGTTCCCCTTTGGAAGCCTGGGCCAGCCCCTCGGCTGCTCAGGTGAGTGCCCGGGGGAGGGTCCCCCGCAGAAGCAGCGGGCGCTGCAGCGGGCGCAAGGACAAGGCAGGGGAAGAGGAGCCCTTACCTTCCACAGCCATTCTCTCAGCGCTCGCCTAATGCATGCATAATTCGCCTGCCCAAGGCACTTCTCCTAGCCCCCCTTCTCTCTCTCTCCCCCTCCAATGTTTTCTCTCTGCTCATCTGCAACCAAGACGATCAACCTGCCGCTCTCACGCTAACAAGGGGGAAGCCCGCGCCCGAGGCAGCCTGGGAAATGTAGTCCCCTACCACCACCTGTGCCCAGGCGGGGGTCCATACAGCCCCAGGTGGAAGAGCCTAGCTTCAGGGTCGCACATAGTGCCCGGCCCAGAGATCAATATCGCAGGGAGGTGGGAAAGCGCGCTGCAGGTTTTGCTTAGATCAGAGCGTACACGGGGGAGGGGAGAGAACTGCAAATCCCGAAATGCAGCAGTTCGGGCTTACGGGAGAGCTGAAGTGGGGCTGTTTGATTGAGAACTTCCTTGTCAAATTAGGGAAGGAGACAGGTACGGGCAGAAGGTGGGGGAAGGAAGATTTGGATTTGTGAAAAATGCCTTGGCTTGATTTGGGGGAGCCACAGCAGATTGTGACCAGAGATCTTGCAAAGCGAAGAGCATCTGTTCCCTAGGCAGTTGCTCTACAGCTGTCAAAATGCAAAATGGTTGCATTAAATCTGACTTCAGCACTCATTTTAGCAATTGCATGCTAATGGACAAAATAAAGTGTGAATTTATATTTTCTCATCTGGACTGCCTTCCTAAGCTCCGTCTATCCTAAGTCCATCACCATAGTATCTAAGCTCCTTGGGGATGGGGCCTCTTTTCATATAACATTGAGAACACTGACAATGTTAAATAAGTAATAATGCTTTCATGCAATCTAGAAACTCTTTCCTTTCCAGTGCTGTCATATACCAAGTCAATAGATGCTAGCATGGAAAAAATATAAATGAACATCCTCTAATCAGCTTTATTTTGTAAAATCTGTGGGGCAAGGCCGTCTTTGTACAGCACCAGAACAGTGTTGTTGCTTAATATAAAACTGGACTTTATTTGATTTTAAAAATTCAGTTTTCCCCACAGGTTTGTTACTGTATACATTAATAAAGGTACCTATTCCCAGGGCCCACAGCGGTGCCCTCTACAGGATCACGTACTTCTTTTTATTGTTTATTGCAAAATGTTTCAGACAATTTCAAATGAAGGGTGGGACTTTTAAAAGTGCTCAGCATTGGCCTAACTCTGTTCCAAATGCAATCAATGATAAAACTCCCATTGCTCCCACTGAAGTCAGAGTTAGACCAATCCCGAACACCCACCGCCCATTCTCAGATGAATAATTAAACATTCTGGAGGGGAGGAGAAAGCCTCCTTGACTCCTCACAAGAAGTGTTGTCAAGGTTCCTTCCCCACTCTGAACTCTAGGGTACAGATGTGGGGACCTGCATGAAAACCCCCTAAGCTTATTTTTACCAGCTTAGATTAAAACTTCCCCAAGGTACAAACTATTTTACCTTTCTCCCTTGGACTTTATTGCTGCCACCGCCAAGCATCTAACAGGGAAAGAGCCCGCTTGAAAACGTCTTCCCCCCCCCGCAAAATCATCCAAAACCCTACACCCCCTTTCCTGGGGAAGGCTTGATAAAAATCCTCACCAATTTGCATAGGTGAACACAGACCCAAACCCTTGAATCTTAAGAACAATGAAAAAAGCAATCAGGTTCTTAAAAAAGAATTTTAATTGAAGAAAAAGTAAAAGAATCACCTCTGTAAAATCAGGATGGTAAATACCTTACAGAGTAATCAGATTCAAAATGAGCTGCCAATGTGATATGGCTGTGAAAAAAGCTAATGTCATCTTGGGATGCATCAGGAGAGGTATTTCCAGTAGGGATAAGGAGGTTTTAGTACCGTTATATAAGGCACTGGTGAGACCTCACCTGGAATACTGTGTGCAGTTCTGGTCTCCCATGTTTAAGAAGGATGAATTCAAACTGGAACAGGTACAGAGAAGGGCTACTGGGATGATCCGAGGAATGGAAAACTTGTCTTATGAAAGGAGACTCAGGGAGCTTGGCTTGTTTAGCCTAACTAAAAGAAGGTTGAGGGGAGATATGATTGCTCTCTATAAATATATCAGAGGGATAAATACCAGAGAGGGAGAGGAATTATTTAAACTCAGTACCAATGTGGACACAAGAACAAATGGATATAAACTGGCCACTAGGAAATTTAGATTAGAAATTAGACGAAGGTTTCTAACCATCAGAGGAGTGAAGTTTTGGAATAGCCTTCCGAGGGAAGTAGTGGGGGCAAAAGATCTATCTTGCTTTAAGATTAAACTCGATAAGTTTATGGAGGAGATGGTATGATGGGATAACATGGTTTTGGTAATTAAATATTCATGGTAAATAGGCCCAATGGCCTGTGATGGGTTTTTAGATGGGGTAAGATCCAAGTTACCCGGGAAAGAATTTTCTGTAGTATCTGGCTGATGAATCTTGCCCATATGCTCAGGGTTTAGCTGATCGCCATATTTGGGGTCGGGAAGGAATTTTCCTCCAGGGCAGATTGGAAGGCCCTGGAGGTTTTTCGCCTTCCTCTGTAGCATGGGGCACGGGTCACTTGCTGGAGGATTCTCTGCTCCTTGAGGTCTTCAAACTACAATTTAGGACTTCAATAGCACAGATATAGGTGTGAGGTCTTTTTTAGGAGTGGTGGGTGAAATTCTGTGGCCTGCATTGTGCAGGAGGTCAGACTAGATGATCATAATGGTCCCTTCTGGCCTAAATATCTATGAATCTATGAAAAAACATAGAGAATCCCTCTAGGCAAAACCTTAAGTTACAAAAAGACACAAAAACAGGAATATACATTCCATTCAGCACAACTCACTTCATCAGCCATTTAAACAAAACAGAATCTAACGCATATCTAACTAGATTACTTACTAAGTTTTAAGACTCCATTCCTTTTCTGTTCCCGGCAAAAGCATCACACAGACAGAGAGAACCTTTGTTTCTCCCCCCTCCAGCTTTGAAAGTATATTGTCTCCTCATTGGTCATTTTGGTCAAGTGCCAGCAAGGTTATCCTAGCCTCTTAACCCTTTACAGGTGAAAAGGTTTCTCCTCTGTCCAGGAGGGATTTTAAAGGTGTTTACCCTTCCCTTTATCATAGAATCATAGAATATCAGGGTTGGAAGGGACCCCAGAAGGTCATCTAGTCCAACCCCCTGCTCAAAGCAGGACCAATTCCCAGTTTATGTTTATGACAGGTTTGTAACTGTGCCTCAGTGGGTCACAACTGAGGATGCCAAAGTCAGGATGAACTGCTGAGAAATACGGCAGAAAAACCCCAAGCCTGGTGGCTAATCCCCCATAGGATATACCAAACCAGCAACAAGAGTAAACTTCTGTTTCACCACACTGGCTAACAAGAAGTCATAAAAGCAGTTTCCTTGGGCATCCCAGTCCTTCTATTACCACCAAAAATACGGGGTTTAAAGGTGAATGGTTCTTTACAACCAGTCTCATCAAGTAAAAGGTTCTTCTGATCCCAAAGGACCAGCCACACACCCAAGTCAATATATAACTTAGATCTTACCCAAAAATCATACTGATGCCAATCCTTTAGTATCTAAAATCTAAAGTTTTATTCATAGAAAGAAAGAAAGAAAGAAAGAAAGAAAGAAAGAAAGAAAGAAAAAGAAAGGTGAGAGTTAAAATTGGTTAAAGGAATCAAATACATACAGTAATTGCAAAGTTCTTGGTTCAGGCATGTAGCAGTGATGGAATAAACTGCTGGCTTACGTCAACTCTCTGGCTGCTTCCAAATCATTGGAAGGTCTTCAGTCCATTGGTTAGAATGTTCCCATTAGTATAAGTTCATATTCCAGAAGTTTGAGCAGGAAAGAGAAAAAATAGAGGTGTTTCCAGGGCCCTTTATAGCTTCTGCCATGTGGCAGGAATCCCATTGTTCTTAAATTACAGTAACAAGTTGGAGTTTGCAGTCACATGGGCAAGTCATATGTCCATGCATTTCGCCTAGTCACAGCAAGAAATCCCATTAAGTGTAGACAGGCTTCTCCATGGTCCATTGTCAGTTAAATGTTCTTTTGATGGGCCACTCAATTTGAATAGTCCCTCCAAGATGTGCTGGCTAACTACTTTCTGAGCATTACCCCAGGAGCAAACGTTTGAAATCTAGGTATAGATCCAATACTCATAACTTCAAATACAAAAATGATACATGCATACAGATAGCATAATCATAACCAGCAAATCATAACCTTTTCATAGACATCTTACATGCCACATTTTGTACAAGATTTGTTGCAAATATATAACAGTGGTTGCAACAATGATCTATATCGTCATATTTTAATCAGATAACGTCAAAAGGTGTGAGCTCCATTAACAACTTGGGCCCTGATCCTGCAAGGAGCTGTTTATGGGCAGATCCCTGCTTTTGCACAAAACCTTGTTGGAGTCAATGTAGGTTCATGAAGGGGTCTGCCTGCATAGGCCTCAGCGCAGGAACTGGGCCTTAAAATGTATTTTAAAATTTGGAGAATATGGTGTAATGGTTCTCATGGTATTCAGGGCTGTGAGTCACCTTGTTACCCTCTACCTCTAGAGAGATGTAGTCTTGCCCATGGTAGCTGGGTGTTAGCTCCTAACACCACCCGTCTGTCAGCCACTCAGGCACTCTCCTTGAGCTATGCCTTTCCTGTCTTCACTTCAAAGATTAACAATAGGTGCACCTCAGTCCCTTTTAATTGTTCCCCTATGGTATTCAGCCATTGACACTGGCCTCTCACAGAAGCCCAAGATCCTCTGCCCCCAAAAGGACCTGTGTACCTCAGTTTACCAGTTTTACCTTAAACCACCACTGCTAGGTAACACACAGCACTTATAATAAAACAGGAGAAGGTTTATTTAAGATATAATAGATATTCCACTAGAAACAGGAGAGAGTGATGTAAACAAATGTTTACAATACAAAACAAAATCATAAAACATAAACTAGTGCCTATACTTATTAATTGTTACCTTTCCTATCTAACAAACTAGGTTTTCATCCCAAACTTCAGTCTGTTGCAAAGCTGGCTGGCTTCACAGGGACCAAGATCCAAACTTTCATGAAAGACACCCCTGAGCCACAAAGTGGTTCCTCAGTGAATGGATACAGAGTAC